CCCCCAGGTGTCCCCACCTTGCCGTCCTTGTCCACTCCGGCCGCCTGCCCGGTGGCCACGCGGAGCCGGTCGGGGTGCACGGCCAGGCTGGGGGGAAACGGGGGGACCCCCCTGGTTTGGGGGTGCACGGCCAGACCCTAAAGGGTCCCTAAGGGGTCCCTAAGGGGTCCCCCCCCGATTTTGGGGGGTTTTTGGGTTATTTTAGGGTCCCCCACCATTAGACCCGGGCTCTAACGGGATTTCCCAGGGGGTTTCTTGGAGGATTTTTGGGGTGATTTTGGGGGTCCCTCAGCACTGGATGCAGGTGGGGGCTGGATTGGGGTCACAGGGGCCGTACAGGGGCGTTTCCAATGGGGGTTTTTTTGGGATTTGGGGTTATTTTAGGGATTTTTGGTGTCTCTCACCAGCGCACGCAGTCGCTGTGGCACAGGGTCAGTACAGGGTTATACAGGGGCGTTCCTAACGGGGTTTTTTTTGGGATTTGGGGATTTTTGGGGGGATTTTGGGATTGTTCAGGGTTATTTTAGGATCTCTCACCAGCACACACACTCACTATGGCACAGGCAGGGCTGGTTCAGGGGCACAGGGTCAGTACAGGGTTGTACAGGGTCGTTTCCAATGGGGTTTTTTTTGGGATTTGGGGATTTTTTGGGGATATTTTTGGGATTATTTCAGTGTCTCTCACCAGCGCACGCAGTCGCTGTGGAGCAGGGTCAGTACAGGGTTGTACAGGGTCGTTTCCAATGGGGTTTTTCTGGGATTTGGGGATTTTTTGGGGTTATTTGGGGTTATTTTAGGGTCTCACCAGCGCACGCAGTCGCTGTGGCGCAGGGTTTTATGGGGCATTACAGGGTCGTTTCTAACGGGGTTTTTTTTGGGATTTGGGGATTTTTTGGGGTTATTTGGGATTATTTCAGTCTCTCTCACCAGCGCACGCAGTCGCTGTGGAGCAGGGTCAGTACAGGGTTGTACAGGGTCGTTTCTAACGGGGTTTTTTGGGGATTTGGGGATTTTTTGGGGTTATTTGGGGTTATTTTAGGGTCTCACCAGCGCACGCAGTCGCTGTGGCGCAGGTAGTGGCGCTGGCGCCGCGCTGGCAGCTGCAGCAGCACCACCACGCAGGCGATGAAGTAAACGAGCTCCCCCGAGCCCAGCACGTGCAGGTTGGAGCGCGAGTCCCGGCCCCGGTAACCGTAACTGGCCACGGTCAAGGCCAAACTGGGAGCACTGGGAGCACTGGGAGCCCTGCTGGGGGTGCTGGGGAATTCCCGGCTTTTTTTTCCCT